CGTTAGGTTTCACTTATAGTAATGTTTTTTCAGAGCATAACGTTAGACCTTCTTATGCATTAACATTAGCCTAATAAACCACACAGGCTGAGTGGCGAATTGGGAGATGAATGAATTACTGATACAGGCAAGAAGAAAGCTTGCTACCTTGCCCTAAAGTAGGAAATAAAATCCAAATTCAATGGGTGAAACATAAACCTGACAGAATTGTAGGTAAAATCCACCACTCAGCAATGAATGAGCAGAGAAGGGAAAAGGATCTGACTGTGAGCTAAAGTTGACCTCTGACCTCTGCCCTCAGCTCCATGCTGGAGGATGTGGAGGAGGCTTTTGTGAAGAACCCCGAGGCCCGTCCTCTGCTGCTGTACCTGCGGACCAGTCAGGGCGCCCATCTGTCACCGGCCGCTAAGGACCTGGTGGAGAGGGTGACCGCGGCAGACAGAGCGGTCAAGGTCAAGGTAAGCTTCCTGTTTCCTGATGTGGTTGGATCTGAACCTGAGACGTGGGCTTATCTGTGAGGGGGCCAAGGTCATTTGGATAATACCACAGTGGAACCTTGTGGCTACGAGCAGTGACTGAGGTATTATCCTCTTTATTGCCGTTGTTCCTTTCAGTTTAGATTTTGCCGGTTAAATGTAAAGTGCTTTGTGACAATGACTGTTGTTAAAAGCGCTATATAAATAAAATTGAATTGAATTGAATTGCTAGTCTTGGTCCCGCCTCCTCTAGTTGCTTGGACCCACCTCCTTTACAATCTGATTGGTTATCTCTCTGAACCAATCATATTTCCTTCTGCCCCGAGAACAGTTTTGTGTGAGTAAAACTCCCACGAGTTCTGATTAAGCCGGCGAGGAGAGATAATTGATTGGAGTAGTGTTTCGAGCACCATCTTCTGTCAACCGCAGGTTATAGAGCATGCAGGGCACCCCGAGGAGGGAGCCTCGCTGATCCACGGCAGCCTTGAGTGGGTCATGAAACAGGTACAGTGCTGGAGGAGGCTATCAGCTCACTGGATTAAACAGGAGAGGCATGGGCCAGAGTCACCATTAGTGGAGAGCATTTTCAAGGGCGCGTTGTGATTGGTAGAGTGATTTATGTCGCTGTTGGCTTGCTGGTTGTAAAGGGCTGCAATCCCCCCCCAGGAGCTGCTGGGCCAGGAGGTGGCTGAGGATGAGAGCTGCCTCACTGGGGCAGACGAGGGCTGCGGCGAGGAGGATCACGGGGACGTGCTGTGGGACCCGCACGACGAGCAGGAGCAGGCAGAGGCCTTCCAGCGGGCTGCCGCCTCCGCCGCTTCACCCGGCTGCCAGAAGGTGGCGCCACCAATTGAATTCCCCACGTAACCGACCTTCAGGAGACTTAGTGTTTCTTAGGGTAGACGTCATACAGAATGGCGGTGGCGTGTTTAATCTTTATCACGTCACTCTTCCTGGGAGTTGAACAAAAAACCTTCTGGTCACGCGCTTTAAGCCCCCCTGACAGGAGATTAGAGACACTATTGCCATCTATCCCACAGTACCTGTCAGCAAAGAGCTTAACACAAATGGTTTCTAGGTAAAACTAAGTGATATCAAGTGAAACCTGTGTAGTTTGCCGTCTTCCTGTTTTGACGGTGACAGGCTGGCGAAATGTCACCATCAAAGGGAGAAATGATCAAAGACAAAACTGAGAGTGTCTGGCTGCTGTCCCCAAAGCCCCGATAACATACGTCCCCTGTCCCCGCTCCCTGTCCTTAGTACATGGAGCGCCTGAATGACATGGTGGCGGCGCCCCCACCCATCCCCCCCCTGCTCGTGTCGGGGGGGCCAGGCTCGGGGAAATCCCTCCTGCTGTCCAAATGGTGAGCCTCGCCCAGCACTCCGTGAAACATGCCAGCGTTCTGATATTATAGCATTGATTGGGGACCGGGTGCAGTTTCACTTACTAATGTGCCGTCTGACTCGCCTCTCCGTCAGCTTGGAGAAAAGCGTCTGCTCAGTAAAGGTTAAATGTCAATATAAAGAGGGGTGTTATCCTGTTATGAGGTATATCAAGGTGTGTCGGTGTTTCATCTCTCATGTCCTGCTGTCATAGCCTTCGCTCTGCCTGGTGCGTCCTAATACACCATCGTCTTTTTGTGTTTTAATGCTGTGAGGTTTTCCTTACTTCATGATGCTGTTTTTTAAATGTACCTGGATCAGTGTTACTTATGAATCTAACGTCCTGCTACTCCATCATCAGCTCATATTCAAAGTCAAAGTCAGCTTCGTTGTCAATTCTGCCACATGTACAGAACATACAGAGAATTGAAATAACGTTTTCTCACAAACCCTAGTTAACAGTAACATTAATACAAAAAAGAATACAAGTAAGAAAAATATGAATAAATAAATACAATATACAAGGGACCGTGGCAGAGAGTGCAGATCAGACATAAAGTGCAATAGAGCTGGTAAGAGGTGATGAGTAATACCAAGCAGCCTTGGACAGACAGTCATGTATGAGGTAGGCTGAGTAGCAGACTAATGCTACACAAAGTGACTGGTGCAGGTGAGTGAGTGTGTGTGTGTGGGTGTGTGTGTTAGTGTTAGTGTGTGTATAACAGAGATTCAGAAAGTTTCAGAAAGTCCGTGGGGCAGAAGGTGGGGAAGTCCACCTCTTTAGAATTAAGGCATTAATTCCTGTTTTTTTTATTTTTTATTTTTATAAAAGCTAAGGGATCAGATAACCTTGGTGACTGCTTACCTGTTTAAGTTTCTGTGACATACTTGACAGCCCAGAGCGCTATCTACCCAGTTATCCGGACTAATGGACACAATTCTGACGGCACTGATTTACCGTGTTTTAACCGGCCCGGCCCACAGGATAGAGTTCCAGCAGAAGCACTCTCCCAACACGCTGATCCTGTACCACTTCGTGGGCCAGCCGCTGTCCACGAGCGCAGAGCCGGTGCTGATGGCAAAAAGGCTGACCATCAAGGTGATGGGCGGGGCTTCAATAAGGGGCGGGGCTTCAACAAGGGGTGGGGCTTCAGTGTGGGAGGCGTGGCTTCCACATGTTCAGTCATGGGTAGTAGGGTGGGTGACTGCTGACTGTTCCTGACATCTCCTCTCCTCCCACAGCTCCTGCAGCACTTCTTCTGCTCCATCTCGGGCCTGTCCATGGACCCTTGCAAAGTCCTGGAGGAGTTCCCCCGCTGGCTGGAGAGACTGTCTGCACGTCACCACGGCAACATCATCGTCATCATCGACTCTGTCGACCAGATCCAGGTGTTGGGCTCCTTCTGGCCGATAATCCTGGGCCTGTGGCTAGTGAAGCAACTGGACATAGCTCTCTCTACTAGAATTATCTAAACCCACATACTTCCAGTTCAGATGGTCCTATATGCAACCCAAAAATCCACCTTTCATTCCATTAGAAGTAAGCTAACTGTTTGTTTAATACTGCACTTAGTGACTGATCTCCCGACAGTTTGAAAATGGATCTTCAGGAAATCTTGGTACCCCTAACCCAGAAATGTTAGCCACAACTTAGACTAGCAACCTTGTAGAGTGGCTGGGGCTGCTGTGTCTCACTCCTTTACCACCCATTTTGTCCCCAGCATGCGGAGAAGCACATGAAGTGGCTCATCGACCCTCTGCCGGTGAACGTGAGGGTGGTGGTCTCCGTTAATGTGGAGACCTGCCCGCAGGCCTGGAGGTGGGTGCCCATGTGACTAGGTGGTCACCCATGTGACTTGGCAGGAGACTGTGTGACTCGGCAGACGTCCATGTGACCGAGTGGTTGCCCATGTGACTCAGCAAGTGTCCATGTGACCAGATGAGGCCTAAGCGGCCATCCGCCACAGCGTCATTCACACCCCTATCGGGTGTCCATGGCAACAGTGGCTGTTAGGGATGGAACATTGGAATGGAGAGGATCAGAACATCCTTTATTTGACCTTTAGAATAAAGGTACAACAGAACGGTCTACTTGGGAACAGGACTAGATTATTTTAGCTGTAGAAGCAACTAGTGAATAAGCCGGCTGTCAAGCAGGATATCACACTGAGGTGACGTTAACCGGACCCAACCCCTCCCCCCGCCCCACCCCACAGACTCTGGCCCACTCTTCACCTGGACCCCCTGAGCCCCAAGGAGGCGAGGTCGCTGATTTCTGCTGAGTGCCAGGCGGCACAGGTCACACTCACCTGGGAGCAGGCGAGTCACTGGACGACATGTTTCCACTACGATAGTCCCCCATGGGCCTGTAATCAGGGCACAAGCATGCCCTCGCGTCAGGCTTCCCCTGGCCAGGGAAGTGTCATTCCGGGGGCCCGTCAGTTCTATTCGGCATCCGCTTACCGCGTCTTGTATGTCTGTAATATATAAAGCTGTTAGAATATGACCACGTGCATGACCCATGACCTCGGTTCTGCAGGAGAAGAAGCTGGACAGTCACTGCCGGTCGGCCTCCAGCTGTAGCCCCCTCTACGTCACGCTCCTGGCCAAGATACTCACCAGGTACTCCACAGCGCCACCGCCGCCCCGTGTCCCGTCTTCCAGCCAGTCCTATTGCAACTAATCCAAATATTTCTTTTTACTTTTTTATTTTGTGTAATTTTTATTGTTTTAGTTTTCTGATTGCTTGTGGTTTTTTCTGAGGGGAAGGGGGGGGGGGTCACATAACTTTCTCCACCAGCCCAGTAACGAGTAGCAGTTTGGTGAATTGGTGTGACTCATAAACGGAGCTGCGACCCCATCCCTGCCTGGTGCCCAGTGCTCCCTGGAATAAGCTCCAGGCTCACTATGACCTGTGCGGTCTTCTGGACGGATGAGTAATTGAAACTTTAAGTCTCGAAAGCGGCACTGCTTGTAGTGCAGCATCATAAAAGGGCGGACAGGCGCCTTGAGGTGTCTGCAGGACAGTGGAGGTGGCATCTACAGCGGTGAGCGACATCCTCTCAGTGTGCAGATCGTGTGGTCTTGTAGCTTCCTGTACTTCTCTATTTCGGCATGTGGTCCTGGGGGAGGTGTGATGTTCTAATAGGCACTGAATAAACTGAAAGAGGAATAAGAAGAAGGCCCAACGAAGACGTGCTCTGTTGGGGATGAGACTCGTTTTAAGCTTGTTTAGTAAGTAAGTCAATAAATAGACTTTATTTATAATGCACTTTAAAAAGAACCTTTGTTCTGCTGTACAGAGTAAATAAATAATAAGATAATGAAACAAATAATGAAACAATACACATACAAATGGCAGAGGGGGCTGGGCAGCCAGTCGATAGCTTTCTTTCTTTCTTTCTTCCCTCCCTCCCTCCCTCCCTCCCTCGTGGGTTCCTTGTGACTCCCTCAGTGGGCTAAGCCTGTGTGTCTGTGATCACAAGGTTGCCGGTTCAAACCCAGCCTCAGCACGTCTGCAGCTCCTTCAGCAAGACCCTCAACCCCCAGCTCCCTGGGCACTGCTACAGGTGGCTGCCCTTCGCGGACAGCTTGCTCTACAAAGAGCAAGTTGAGGGAGGCGTAAAGACGACAAAGTGATGATGATGATGATGATGATGATGATTATTATTATTCCTTCCTTCCTTCCTTCTTTCTTTACTTTCCATTCCTTAAGTCAAAAGCTAAAGAATAGCCAAAGCTAAAGAATAATGAGTCTTCAGTTCAGTTTTACAGTCAGACAGTGAAGCGGCAGCCCTGACATGGGTGGGCCGGCTGACCTGGGTGGGCCGGCTGTTCCCAAGCCTTGGTGCCGCTGCCCGGTCGTCCTTCCATTTTCACCTCACCGAGCCTGAAGACGCTGCTCGGATGCTGGGATTTGCTCCGGGTTGGTGTTGGGGTGTGTCCCCAAGTGCTGCTGTATGTGTGTTTGTGACCCTCCTCTCCTCAGCGCCTGGAGGCCGGACCCCGCGCTGGAGCTGTGTCTCCAGAGCCCGGACACACTGTCCCTGTACCGGCTGGGCTTGCGGACCCTCATGGACACGCTGAGGACGGACCGGGAGAAGCTCGTCATGAAGGAGGTGCTGGCCGTCAGTGTGGTGGTGGTGGGGGGGGGTGTTCAGGAGAGGTGACGGCGAGGTGCGTGTGTGGCCCCCCCAGGTGGTGTGCCTGGTGTGCGTCAGCCACAACGGCGTGGCCGAGTCCGAGCTGCTGCAGATGTTCCCCGACCTGACGTGGCCCATGTTAGCGTCGCTGCTGCGCCAGCTGCAGAACCTGCGCGTCGTCACCTTCAGCTGCGGCCTGCTCAAGTTCCAGCATCTGCAGGTGAGCCTCGGCATGGGGGGGTGGGGTGGTGGGTCTTGGATAGCGGCTGAGCGGAGCAAAGCGAAAGCGAAAATGTGTGAGTGGTGTATGATTCACAGCCCTTATCATGTGAGTTTGAGGGCCCTAATCACATGTAGTTCAGAGACTGGGTGAGGTGAATTTGTAGTCAATGTGTGGCTTAGTGGGTTAGGGTTAGGGTTAGGGTTAGGTTTAGGACACAGTGCCTGAAATGCCATGGCTGGAAGTGTGATTTCAGTTGGGCCTTAATTTCTTACTTATTCCAAGGTGTGTTTGTGTATACACACACACACACACACACACACCCCTTAGGATAAAAGTGTCTGCAGAAAAACTAAGTATGGTAACATGTAATTCAGTATATCCGGGAGGTCTACTCTGAAACAAGGCCACCAGGGGGCGGCATTCCATGGGCTGGCTGAGTTGTTATTTTGTGACCCTGTTCAGGCGTGGGAGGCGGTGCGTCTGGAGTACATGAGCACAGAGGGCAGGGCGTCGGGCTACAGGGAGAGGCTGATCCAGTACTTCAGCGGCCAGCTCAGGTGTGTCCAGTCAGCCCTTCCTAAAACGACACCGGTTATAAATGTGCAGTTCTCCTGTGAGTGTCTCGTTTTCAATTTGATCTGCTGTCCCTTTAAACCTCCCCTTCCTGCTGCCACAGTCAGGACCGGGTGACGTGGAGGGTGGCTGATGAACTACCGTGGCTGCTACACCAGCAGGAGGACAAGGTCAAGCTCCGGCAGAGCCTGCTCAACCTGTTTGTCTCCCAGAACCTCTACAAAAGGTCAGCAAACGTGCCGCCGTCTCACTCTGTGACTGCCTGTCTATCATCCTGCCGGATCCTTTGTCTTCCTGTCTGTCTGATTCTCTCTCTGCTTGTATGTCTGTTCCTTTATCTGTTTGTCTGTCTGTGTACTAGCCTGTCAGTCTGTCTCTCTAACTCTATTCCTTTCACTGTCAATCCATCTGTCTGTCCAGCTGTCTCTCTCTGTCTGATTCTGTCTGTCCCTTTATCTCTTTGTCTATCTGTCTGCCATCTGGTCTGTCTGTCTGTCTGTCTAACTCTATTTCTTTCTCTGTCCGTCCATCTTTCTCTCCATCTGTCTTTCTCTGCCTGTCTGTTTCGCTCTGCGTCTGCCTCTGTCCTTGCCTGACTCGATGACGGTGTTCCCCTGTCTGACTGTTTTTCTGGAGAGACAAAGACAGTGAGAGACTGAAGTGTGTCTTTAAAAGCAGATGTGTCTGTCTCCACCCTGACGATCCCCACTGCCCCCCCTGCCCAGGGGCCACTTCTCGGAGCTGTTGGCCTACTGGCTGTACGTAGGCAGGGACAGGAGCTCCATGGCCACCGAGTACTTTGACTCTCTGAAGCACTACGAGAAAAGCTGCGAGGGTGAGGGTAGCGCGCCCCAGCTGGCCAACCTGTGTGAGACCCTGGGCCGCTTCCTGAAGGACCTGGGACTGCTCAGCCAGGTGCGGTCCTGCAGACAGCAGGGGGCGCTAGAGAGAAGGTTGTCTGATTTAAAAAATCAGCGCCAAATGTGCCTTAAAAAAAAAAATTAGTCCAGATTGCTTAAGGAAATCTCTTGTTGTGTATGTGTAAAGGCGGTGGCTCCCCTGCAGAGGTCACTGGAGATCCGGGAGACGGCGCTGGACCCGGACCACCCGAGCGTGGCGCGCTCATTGCACCAGCTGGCTGGCGTCTATGTGCAGTGGAGGAAGCTGGGGAATGCCGAGCAGCTGTTTAAGCAGGCACTGGAGATCGGCGAGAATGCGTGCGGCGCAGAGCACCTCTGCGTGGCACGCGAGCTCGACTCCCTCGCCCTTCTCTACCAGAAGCAGAACAAGTGCGTCCCATGGCAACTGGGTGGGGGAGGTGGACCTTGGCAGTTCTTAACGTCCTTGGGGAAGATCCAAAATGCCAAAACTTTGTTTCTTTTAAATCTGGCTCTCTGTGGTTTGTGTGGTGTGTCTCTGAAACCCTTGAGAGGCCATGGGTAGTGAAGCGTGACTTCAAGCCCTAAGCCGATTGTGATTGGACGCCTGCCCTACCTCCTTGCGCAGGTATGAGCAGGCCGAGAGGCTGAGGAAGCGTGCTCTGAAGATACGGCAGAAGGCCGCGCGCCACAAGGGAAGCATGGTACTTGGGCCTGTCCTGCCTCTGCATCATTAATCCACATTGTAAGGTTGTTATTAATTAACTAACCCCCCATCCCCCTCCCCTGCCCTCTGCAGTATGGTTTCTCCCTCCTACGGCGCCGTACCCTGCAGCTGGAGGAGCTCACACTGGGCAAGGACTCGGTGGACTGTGCCAAGACGCTGAACGAACTGGGGGTGCTCTACTACCTACAGAACAATCTGGAGTGAGTCTGGCTCCCCCTGCTGGCCATGAATGTTATCACTGCAGTTCACTGCCTGTAGCTCTATTATCACATGACTCTGGATTTGTTATAAGAAACAACTAACTGTAATGGTGGATTATTTAACTAAATTAAAACAACCAAATTAACAGATTATTCTTTTAAAACTGATGTGTAACATTTTTGTAACAAAAACACTAGGGATGTGCATCTGCCTCACTGAGGCTGCTGCAGTACACATCTCGACGCATTGCAACAATCCGATACATTAATGATACATTAATGATGTTAGAAACGATGTATCCTGAGTTCATCCCGAATTGTGTCTGATGCACGCTTCTTTAATTGGGAAGAACACCACACAACATAACAAACACAAATAGAAATTTATCTAATTATTAGGCTCACAGCCTGAATAAGATCATTTATTTTAAATGTTTTTTTTTTTCAGGTATAACCTACTGATCACAGAACCCATAAATGTAAAAATGTCCGAATAGTATAACCAGTAAATGTAACAACTTAGCTATAACTGCTGGGACATTGCAGGTGAAGTTCGTGATACAAAGGTACAACAGCCGAATCCCTTGCTGATTCAGCCCTGCAGTATAGTAATGTCCCCTTGCCCTGTCCTGCAGCACGGCCATGGTGTTCCTGACGCGCTCCCTGGAGATGCGCCGGCGCGTGCTGGGCCCCGAGCATCCCGACTGCGCCCAGTCGCTCAACAACCTGGCGGCACTTCACTGTGAGCGGCGGGAATACGAGCGTGCTGAGGAACTGTATGAGAGCGCATTGGACATCCGGAGGCGCGCCCTGGCCCCCAACCACCCCTCATTGGCCTACACCGTCAAGCACCTGGCCATGCTGTACAAGCGCAGGGTGAGGGAAGGGCGCTATATCCACAGCCACTGATCCTTAGAGCATCTGACCATGCTGTATAAGCACAGTGTGAGGGAAAGGCGCTATATCCACAGCCACTGATCCTTAGAGCATCTGACCATTTGATAATATTTGTTGACACTTTAATAAATCAGATTAGATTAACTTTACTGGGAAATTTCAAGCTTTTTGTTAGATTAAACTTTTTTATGTAACTTTATTAGATAAAATATTATAGATTTGAGTAGCATGTACAGAGGTACAACAGGTACTCCCTAGTAATTTAAACCTAATTTAAAACTTGTGAGAAGCCCGGTCTCACAGCATAGTCTTCCCATCTTCCTGCTCTCCAGGGAAAGCCGGAGAAGGCGGTTCCGCTATACGAGCTGGCCCTGGAGATCCGGGAGAAGAGCTTCGGGCCAAAACACCCGAGTGTGGCCACGGCACTGGTCAACCTGGCCGTGCTCTACTGCCAGTTGGTGAGTCCGTGGTGGGGGGAGTGTGGTCAGATAAGAAAGGTGCTGAATTCCATGCTGGCGTGACTGGTCCCGTCTTCCTCCCCCCTCAGAAGAAGCATGGGGAGGCGTTGCCACTCTATGAACAGGCCCTGAAGATCTACGAGGATAGCCTGGGGCGCGTGCACCCCCGCGTGGGCGAGACGCTGAAGAACCTGGCCGTGCTGAGGTGCGTCGTGTTTTGGGAGCCCCCTGTTGGCCAGAAAAGCCACTGCACTGCATGAGGTGGGGGTGGGGCGTCGAAGTGGCTGCACTCACACGCTTTCTCTCCAGCTACGAGGAGGGAGACTTCGAGAAGGCAGCCGAGCTGTACAAACGGGCCATGGAGATCAAGGAGGCGGAGCCTTCGCTGGTGGGCGGGAAAGCCCCCTCCCACCAGTCGTCTGCCGGCGACACCGTCAGCCTCCGCGGCCCCTCCCTCCACCCCGGTGCCAGCCCTAGCCACAGGTGACCTCCCCTCAGAGCATGGCGATTCTGCCTGGCCAGGAGCCCCGCCTCATCAACTCGGTTACCTGGTTATGGTGGGCGGAGCTTTTGACTTTCCTGTCCTCTAGAGGTCCTCATTATTCTGTCGTTAAAGGGACAAATCCAGTGTTTGGCACCTTTGGTTTCAATAACAGCACCAGGAGCATCCAAACTGCCAAATGACTGAAACGACCAAAATGCTTCTTAGGGAAGCTGTACCCCTGCACAGTGTACAGAAAATGAAGCGTTAGCTGCAATGTCTTCCAAAACCCCATCAGTATTAAAATACTTTGACTATCCCCTGGTGTTTTACTGCCGATCCATCTTTTCTATTTCACACAACAGTCCCAGCAATGTCCAGCTCACCTCTGGCGTTAGCCGTTCACCAAAACCGCCACCAAATTCGGCTTACAGTCACACTGCCGGCACAGGACCCGATCAGCTTTGAACCCTGTACATCACACCATCTCTTTCAAGGGGACCTATTACGCTTTTCTGTTTGTGCCCTTTTCTTTACTGTATTATATAGCATTATATGCATGTAAACGGTCTGCAAAGTCCTAACGCCCAAAGTACAAAAGGAGTAACTCCCCACCGAAACCACTCTTCTCTAATCCGCCCGAAACGCCTTGTTGAAATTTCAGCCCTTACCTCTCTGACAGGGGGCCCTGTTCACACCTGGCATTAACATGCGTCCTGGGTGATCCAATCACAAGTGGGCAGCGCTAAATATGTCCGTTCACTGGCATTAACATGCGATTGTAACTGGATCTCACTTTCCTGCACTTATTTAAATAAGCATATAAATTGCTTTCATATGCAAAATCTGCCAAACATTAAGAGAAGGAGAAATCAAGGATGTGGTCTTAGCGATCGGATCTCATTGTCCTCAATGCATCTTGGGTGCGTCCACTTCTGATTGGATCACCCAGGATGCATGTTATTACAGGGTCATGGTGAGGTCACCTCGTAACACAATTCTAATTAGCCGCTTAATGATCTGTCCAGACTGCAAAACAGGGGCGGGACATGTATGGCAATCTGACCAATCGGGCAACTGCCCAATCAGAGCACACTGGGCTCATCGGGGTGGGGTTTAAAACTCTAACAGTGTTTCAGAGATATAGAGTGAATAGAGATGCACAGTATGTGGAAAAATAGATGTAAATCTATTCTAGTAGTCCCACAAAATAAAATTATAAACCATGAAAATGAGCATAATAGGTCCCCTTTAAGATTGAGTCACATCAGAGGAGGGCATAGGCTCACACTGCAGCTGTGTGGTCAGAAGCAGCCATTCCAGATCCCAGCTGTGTTTCTCAACCCAGTCCTCAGGGGGGGAGCGAAAATGTGGACTGTCTGGGATAAGGGCACAGCCCTCTCTGGAAAGCTGGGGCCGGGCCTGGACCGCAGGGAACACCAGACTTACGGAGAACCACTCAGCCACCCAAATGCTGGTCCACTGGAACCAGCCTCTTCCTCCCTCCCTCACACGCACACTCACACACGGTGCCCCCTGGTGGTCACACAGTGTAGCACTCCAGCTGATAAAACGCCACCTCTCGGATGCGGTAACAGCCAGCGACTGGCCAGCGCTCAGGCCAACAGATTTCAGACCCTGTCCTGAAGCGTAGACTGGCTTCTTTTGCATTTTTAATCAGTGTTATCAGGGCTAAACTGCACACAGGAGGAAGGACAGGTATCATTAATACACAGCAGGAGCGAACGGCAGCATGACGTCCGCGGCCTAGACAGCTGGAGGTTTGGGATTTCCTCTGTGTCGCCTGGCCGTTATGCTGAGCCATGTAACAGGCAGGTAATTACAGTACAGTGATTAACTAGGAGGGATGTCTTTAATAATTAATGGGAAGGGGACTTAAGCATGAGATGATAAGTCTTTTTATGTCAAGACAGAAATACAGTCCTTAAGACCAGAACTCTAGCCAGCCGCACTGAAGCTCCGCCTTTCCTTGCCGTCGGTCAAAAAGCAAAGATTTTTTTACATCTTTCTGAACACGTTTCTGGTGCCCCTCAGTCAGGTGGGTCGTTTCCCTGTTGCTATGGCTACATCTTCCTCATCTGAGCCATGAGCTCCTCCAAGCTCTGCTCCGTCTCCGGGACTGTGTCCTCCTCGGGCCCCCGTGTGGCTCTCTGTGGGGGGGGGGGGGCATAAAACAGGTGAGGAATCAGAGTCATTTACAGGAGTTCGATCATTTGGGGGATATCAATGGGGCATATTCATGACATATTTAACAATGGTTTTAGATTTAAATCTGCAAATGAACAGTTATTGACTTATTACACTGTCAAAGTTATCAGCATATTAAGTCAAATTGGCCATTTGTATTTCCTTTTCAAGCTAAGGACACTTGAAAATCATTTCCTGTCTGAACAGACATCTGGACAGATTGGTCAGGGTTACAGTTCAAAATGACGTTATGGGTGAGGTGGAATTTACTGTGAAAGGGGAATCAAAGCCACATGGCACATTCAACAGGGGACAATTTCCTTAAATGATCCTTTCTGTTCTAGTTTTATGGAGCTGAAACAGGAACTAGGAAGAGGTGGCAGCACTGATCTTTGAACGGAAGAAACCAATCTGTGATGCGGTTGGGGGGGGGGGGGGGGGAATGACCTCTTCAGGGATGGTGTATGCCACGGTGATCCCCTCAGGGAGGTCTGGCACTGGACCTGAGGCGGCCCTAAGCTCCTCCTCCGTTACCTCGGAGACCAGCTCTATGCCTGTTGAAGACAGAGTTTCATTCAGTACAGTGATACACAATCAGTTATCATCAGCACCATCATGCATTTCATTTTACAGTAAAACTGCACAGGCGACGATGCCCTTTTGGGTACTGTGTGTTTTTTATGCCAAGATCAAAGTTTCTATTTTGAGTTTGTCGGTTTTGCTTTTTTCAGATGTTTGTGTGATGTGCATGTAAACAGCAGGCAGAGTTATCAGGGCAAGCTGGACTGGTTACGTGATAACGGTCCCGTCTGGAGAGACGCACACGCACCCCACTCATTGTCCTCATGAACCACCTGCTCCTCCTCTTCCACCACTTCCTGTTTGGGCCGTTCCACTTCCTTCTTCTGTGGGGGGGGCGTGGCATGTTGAGGGATTACTCAAATTATTTCAAAAACACATTAAAACAGAACAACCTAAATCATTCAGTATAAAATCTAAAGTCTTTAATTCTTATTACAAAACAGCAAATACAGATAAAAATATGAATGAATCCCAGAGCCCCTCACCCGGAACTCCTCCTGCCTCTCCCGGCAGTAGCGATCCTCGCACTGTGGATTGGCCTTCATGGACATGCTGGGGAAGAAATCCTGCATGGCGTTGTAGCCCAAGTAGTGGCTGACTGTCCCAAAGCGCAGGAGGTACCTGAGCAGGAACACCGGTCACACCCAGCCAGCACCCCCCCCAAACCTCAAATCCCTAATTACTGTCTTCACTATTCACTTTGTTTATTGGTGAGCTTCATATTCCTGGGGCCTGAATCGCAAAACGAGATTTGTTGGTTAGCCTGATTTGAGGAAGTCTGGGCTAGATGTAAGTGAACAAAAAGAAAGTTAATTTAAATTGGGGTAATGTAAGCCTGACAAGTTGTCTGGCTAAGCAAGAAATCCAGTTTCATGACACGGGCCCCTGGAATCCTCAAAGTGTCTAAAATGCCCTAAATATTATAAGTTATATCCTAACTCTTAGCAGATCTGTAACGTTTCATTGGTATCTATATGCATGACCCCATTACACAGTGCCCACTCAGTTTTGAGTCCTCATCCAATCAGCAACATCCAATAAGCAACATCCAATCAGCATGCTGCACTATGAAAATGACATCACCCTGCTTCCTTAGCAAAGACGCTAAGCAGGTTAGCCTGTGTCACAGTGACTAAAGATGTTGGTGTACGCTAACGACTCACTTGAGGACGTTCTGCACCAGGATGCCAGCCACCACGCCCATGGTGGTGGGTAGGCTGGCGGCGCACACGCCCTCCCTCTTCAGCGTTTTCTCATCGATGTTCGCTGCCACCACGAGGGGAGGGGCACACTGGTGTAGGAAAGGGACAGCTAAGTAAATGAAGCAGATTACCGGGCAGAGTGACGGTGGGTCCTATAGCCAATGGCGTACCGCGAAGCAGGCCGTTTCCCCGGGAATGATGAGCTGGATGTGTCCTGACACGGCGTTCTCGCTGACCCCCGACTCCATCCAGATCTGGCCCAGCTCGTTGCAGGCCTGCGGTAATGTGTAGATGTGGCACTCAGGAGCGTGTTACACACATCTCCAAAGCGTGCACTCAAGCTAAACCGTGCCAGTAAATTATCCCTCTGAAGTAATGAACATGGGGTGTGACACATATTTCAGAAAACATTTCACACAAATATACAATTACATTTCTTTTTTATTTAGTGGATGCTGGGGTTGAGGGCCTTGCTGACAGTGACGTCACTCTGCTGACCATGGGATTCGAACCGGTGACCTTCTGATCACAGGCACGGCATCCTAACCCCACTAAGCCACACACAGTTAGTGATTAATGGATAAATACAAAACCCATTTAGAAACTAGATCAGCAAAAACCCCAGTCATTGGCAGAGATGATCCCTTGGGCTTTATGTGGTCGAGCAGGCGGGGCTCTCACCGCATTAATGGCCATTCGAGCCTCGAAGTTGTCCACGCAGCTCAGTACCAGGTCCACGGGTGATCCTTCCTGAAGCCCCCCGTGACTGCGAGACACAGGGGAGGCAGCTGATCATGTGACAGCAGAGGACCACCCAAAACATTTGAATGGGTCTGTGTTACAGTGAAGCACGATGTTCCACAAAAAAAGCAGTACAAGGGCTCTGCTGAAGTACTGGTCGTATCCCATGGGGGCGGAGCCTGGGTAACATCACTCACCTAATACGCTCCATGAAGTGCGTGAAGTTGTCCATGGTCGTGATGTTGTAGTTGTGGGTTTCGAACACCACGTCCGGGTTTATGTTCCTGGGTGGACATTTAAGGAGAGAGGGGGAGCAAATGGAGATGAGATGTTTCAGGATAAGCAGATCCTGAAAGCTTCCCAAAGCGATCATCCAATGAGCCACAACCTGTCAAACCATGGATACTTACAGAACAGCATAACACTATATGTTTCCCTAAGGGTGCTGTTCAAGAGGAAGATGAAAGCTTCTTTCCTGCATATTTATGTCTTTGTGGAATTTCATTCTGTGCTGTCATCTTTGGCTATTAAAATAAGCAATAATATATAAAGTTGGAAAAAAAAAAACATGAACGCAAAATATGATCAAGAGAACGGGGGATTAACCCAGGCGGGTTCCTTTGCTCAGTGCACTGACCACTCACCTCAATGTGTGTTCAGCAGCTTCCACTTTGCTCAGTCCAGCCTGATGGGGCTGAAAGAAGAGCCTGTTCATGTTGGCAAGTTCCACCTTGTCGTAGTCAAATAGGAGCAACTGCAGCACAAAACAAAGAGAAAGTAAGCATGATTTAATGATAAAATGAATCACGTAAAAACCAACCTCAAATAATAATAATAATAATAGATACTTTATAAACTGTCTTTACGCCTCCCTCAACTTGCTCAAATTACTACACGTTTACGGAAACCGCTCTGCCAGCAGTCAGAACCAATAATGTCTCTGTACATAATGTCTGCAAATTAAATGAAAGTGTTTATTACCTTACCAATTCCACATCTTGTGAGCATTTCGGCAGTAACGCTCCCCACCCCCCCGACTCCAACCACTGCTACCGTATATGTGCGGATTTTCTGAAAGGAAAGGACGTGTAAAATATACAGATGTTTCCCTTCTCTGCCAAAGTAAGCAGAATACAGTCATCAAGCTACGAGAGATACGTGGGACATCGTTGTCCTTCCCACCTCGTAGTCTTCAACAATGCCCATCCTTTTCAATGCCATGAGACGACTGGAAGGTGGAAGCGATAGATAAACATTAACAAATCGCTTATGAAACACAAGACAGATTGTTTAATTGAAGTCGTGCTCAGTGGATCACCAACACGGCACATGTAAGCAGTGCTTATCACCTGTAAGGATTGCTGTCCACCACTTCAGCGCTCATCTTCTCGATTCTGGGTCTGTGATGACCATGACTGTCATCACCATCGCTCCCGGAACATTGTCTTAGCTTACATTTTAGCAACTCATTCTCCAGTTCTTGGACTCTCAGCTTCAGTTCTTCCACAGTCGCCATTTTAACGCCTCCTTTCACCTTATTAACACTTAGATCGCTGGAAAATGAACACAGATTCCCACGCCTCTCCCGAATTCTAATGACACGTCTGCACTACAGGCACTTCAATACCTTATTTGGAGCTCCGCTATAATTCGTCCGACTAGAAACAACATCGAAAGTTCCTACCTCAAATTTAATACATTTTCAATGTATCCCAAATAATTTTAACGCATTTTAAATATACACCAAATCGTACAACGATAAAACAAATCATCCTTCTATAGTGCCACAAAATCATTCGTAATTGGCCAAAGTTTTTAAGTGGAATCAGTAATGGTGTTACCCGGAATCTGTGCATGACTGTACTTTGCCCCGGACTTTGAACTCTCTGTTCTCTGGTTCCTGATTTAAACAACAAGCATTACTAAAGTTTTCTGTTATCGGATACCTGTTATATTAAATATGGACGAGGAAATAACCGCTGTCCGGGAGCAGCATCAGTTCAACATCGCGAATTTACAGAAATATTTGTCGGATAAACTACGGGACATAAACAGCGATACATTCATTGTCAAGCAGTATGGGTAGGTATCTGGTAATGTGATGTAATGCAATATTATACAATATAATAGAGGGTTGACATCTATCACGCATTTGGCGAGACACTCACGCTTTCTGACTATCAAGATTACGCAAGAAATCTTACTGCAAATCTATCTTATTCCATTATAAACTTAAAATTAGCTACTTCAAAAGTGTTGGGGTAGTTTGCAAACCGTGCAAACTATTTACAAGGTAACAAAGCTGTTACATGCATGTAAATGTGTATACAGACTTGTCTCTAATTGAAAATCTCACGGCAACCAGCTGACCAAAGTTGGCAACCCTAATAATAAGTTCTTATGTCTCTGTTTTTCTGCAGAAAAGGACAGTCCAACCCCACATTTCTTCTGCAGACGTCTAAACGGAGATACGTCCTCAGAAAGAAACCTCCGGGGGAGCTGCTTCCTGGAGCTCACAAGGTGTCGTGTTGCTCTTGGATGTGCGCTTAACATTATATCTTCTGGAAAGCTATGAGCTGCCCGTTCATTGCTTGATCAAAGAATTAGATACTTTAGACTAATATATTGCACTAGCATTTAGCTTCATGCATATTTTCTTCCATACAGGTGATATAGAAAACCCCTTTACACACACACAATGTATGTGTGTAAGTAACAGATTAGGAAGAATGGCATGTGTATGATATCGTGCTTGTTTTCTAAGTGTTATTAAAGTGACGTCCGCAAGATGGAGACAGAGCAATGGGAAATAAATAACTCTTGCTAGTGCAGTCGTAAGAACTTTTAAGCCTAGTCACCTAAGCGTGACTTGTCTGCTGTGTAAGAACATTAAATTGAACGGTTGCTTCAAACATGTGCCTTTATACAAATGAGGGCAGTTTATTTAGGCTTTTTCCCCCAAGTGAAGTGAGCTTGTGGTTTTACATGATCCCTCTAGGATCGGTCTCTTTACCGTTAAACGACTGCATGCTGCTCATGCGCACAGGTGGACAGGGAGTATCGCGTGCAGAAGGCCTTGTTTGAAACGGGGTTTCCCGTACCGGAGCCCCTGCTCTTCTGCGCAGACCAGTCGGTTATCGGCACTGAGTTCTACGTCATGGAGCACGTGCAGGTGCGAATTAACCGGTACCTTCCATAATCTCACGGAGAGGCTTGTCCTGTCCCGGCTCTTTTTTGAGATAATGGGCAAACATTGTCCATGCACTTTATAATCTGTATTTTAATGAGGCAGAGCCTTCGCAGGGCCGCATTTTCAGAGACATCCGGCTGCCTGGGCTGAGTGTGGCGGAGCAGGTGGCTCTGTACGTGGCCGCCGCTGAGGTCTTGGCCAAGCTGCATTCCCTGGACCTGGCCGCCCTGGGGCTTGGAGACTACGGAAGAGGTCCTGGCTACTGCAAGAGACAGGTAGATGGGGATGGGGTGGCGTGGAGCTTTGGTCGGGCCAGGTTAATAGCTTGTGTGAGTGTTTTTCTTTGAAGAGTTTCCTTGTGGGCGTCACTGTGGATTGGTTTGCACAGTTCTAGGGCTGTTTCTCAATACCGAGAACGCAAAGATCATACTTGTGTTCTTGGCTTGATCATACGCGATGTACAATTCCAGGGTCTGTCCCAGTTCAGGGGCTGCATCCTCTGAAAGCTGCATTTGGTGGCCAAATGCTGTCCCATCAAATGCGGCCTAGAAATGTGTCCTCCTTTTCCAGCGTTGCAAAGGTTGCACCCGATGGATCCTTCATGGCCTAATCTATCCCAAGATTAATTGTGTGGAGGTCACAAAGGCAGGTGTTTCTCAATATGCCTACTTGACCATACTTGTGTTTTCACATACCTGTTTTACCCCATCTTCCATTGCCAAAGACCAGTTCCAAACCTTAAGAACAGAAGTACAGAGGACGGTAAAAATCTGAAGATCTTGGTCTTGCCCCACCCCAAATATCAAAGATACATTGGTTGCATCCTTGCCAAACCAGACCAATCCCATGATTCATTGCAACCCAAGTTCGTTTTTGGAAGGCAAGTTAGCAAGACCGGTCTTGCCATGACCGCAGGTATGATCTTTGCGTTCTTGGTGTTGGGAAACACCTGGTGTGTCCCGGCTAGGAGCCACAGTTCGTGATGCATGAGTAAGGGTAGAAACAGCTAATAACACGAATAGGAAATTATTAGTCAGACCATAGCTGTGCCTGAATTCAGGGGCTGCATCCTTCAAAGGTCGATTGGAAAGCATCAGCCAATGGAATGGTCTGACCGTTCTCCGCTGTTCCCGCCTTCCCCTTTGAGCCACAAAGCACCCCTCCTATTGTCTAGCCAGGACACACCCACTTTACTTCTGGGAAATGAATCTTGGGATATGTTGGGCATCCGTGGGGTGGATCCCTTGCAACTTGCTAAAAGGAGGATGTATTTCTAAACTGCACTTGAAGGAGCCTTTCAATTGGGACAGCCTAGTCGTACCGCTGCGACACATTTAGTCTTCAAGTGCAGCCTTACAAGGGTGCAGCCCCTGAATTCAGACACAGCCTATCCCATCTGACAATGCTTTCTGTTCGACCTTTAAAGAATGCGACCTACAAAGCCCATGCCTTCGTAGACGGTGTCATCCGAAGGATGCAGGCCCAGAAGTGGGACACAGCTCCAGTACTCAAGATCAGAAGTACGGAGGACAGCAAAAATCCCCAGATGTTGTTCTTGCTCAGCCCCAAATATCAAGGATGCATGGGTTGCATCCTTGCCAACAAGAACAATCCCATAATTCATCGTGTCCCAAGTTTGTTCTTGGGACGCGAGTTAGCAAGAATGCTCTTGCCAAGAACACAAGTACGATCTCTGCGTTTTTGGTAAAAAAAAAAAAAAACATGCTAGGTCGCCATTTGGGGTATAGAGTGCACACCCACGCAGCGCCAACAGACGTGTGACCGCGCCTCGCTGTTTGCACGGCCTCGTGTCCATGTGACCATCCATCAGCGCTCCCGCACAGGCTCCGGGTGTGTTTCCTCATTTTATTCTGGAGTGGCTTTGTTTTCATGCAGCTATTGCGCTCGGGGTCTCATTGCAGGGTCAAGTGCAGCTATTAAAAGTCGGGCTCCGCCGTGCGGTCTGTCAGCCTGGTGGCTGCTCGCCCGGTGAATGTTTATTTCCTGGACAGCGAGTTAAATGGAAAAACGAAAAGGGGAAGGTGGAACGGTGGTTTGCTGGGTTACATTTTGGCCTCATACCTTCAAGTTTGCATGTTCTCTCTAGTTTCTAGAACTATCCATCAAAGAGCCCCGCCTAAAAAAACACATATAGGATGATTGGTTCCTTGAAAGGTTTAGTTAATGGCATAGAGTGGGGTACTAAACTGGCAGTCCAGGACCAAAAAAACAGTTAAAATCTCACCGCATGATATCCTTTACTTACCAACCAATTTTCTTCTTGCCCAGTCCCCCAAATTTTGTAAATTTTGATCAATTTGAAAAGTAGTTGAGGACCTCTGGTGTAGAGGATATGGCGCAGGATTGTAAGCCAAAAGCCGAAGGTGGAGGACAGGTCTTGTTGTTGTACTTTTGCCAGTATTGGTTTGGAATTACAGTGTGCTGTCGATCACACATCGATGGATTTACCAGTGAAATAATCAGGGGGCTGATTGCCACAATAACTCACAATGAGCCTTTTTCTCATCACTACTAACGCAAGAGTGTGGAAATAAAGTTTAAGGAACACGGCAGCAATAAGCTGTAAGAATGTTCTCGGCGTCTGCTCCAGGTGTCCACCTGGACGAAACAGTACAGAGCCTCCAGCCACAGGGACGTCCCGGCTATGGATCGGCTGTCCGATTGGCTCATGAATAATTTGCCGACCAATGACAGTGAAGTCACGCTCGTCCACGGGGACTTCCGGTTGGACAACCTCGTCTTTCATCCCACCGAGGTACGTAATGTCGAGGCTGACATTACCAAGCAGTTCGGGTGCCACCACGACAAAGAATTCAGGATGTTATCGAAATGCTCTTTGTTTGACTGTAATAGTGTTTTTCAAACTGGTCCTTGGGGATTCCCAGACGGTCCACATTTTTACTCCCCCCACTTCCTTCCCAGGCCCGTGTGCTGGCGGTGCTGGACTGGGAGCTCTCCACCACTGGCCAGCCCCTGGCGGACCTGGCCTACTTCCTCATGCCCTTTTACTGGCCCAGTCACTTCAGCATCCTCGATTCTATGGGAGGTCTCGGGGGAGCGGAAGGTGTGTGTCCCTGTCACCTGGCTGTCGCCAGCTTCCGCTGGTCACCCCACCAGCTCACAGGTGGCTGGCCCAGTTTACCTAGCATTGTCTCAGTCTGACCTCATAGCTGCGTGATGCACACAGCCCCCACAGTCTCTTCTCTACCTGCTTTTGACAGGTAGCCCCTCCCCCACGGACCTTGCTGCTGTGTACAGCCGTTGCCGAGGGATACCGCCCTCTCTCCCCCAGTGGAATTTCTTTCTGGCCCTCGCCATGTTCAAGATGGCGGGCATAGCTCAGGTATGGCTGAACTGTGGCGGTTAGCTGGGCTCGCCGCAGGGCAGGAACGTCGGTCGGCATAGCTGAGAGCAGACAGACGGACATTCTGGTTTCCCAGGCTCCTGATTGCCTCAGGCTGCTGTGTTGTTCCCCTGATTATGGTGGGCGTGAGGGACTGTCACTAGGTATTCATTTTCGCTTTTTTTTTTTTTTCTCGATCTGCCGCACCTGAATGTGTTTAACAGCAAGCCGTCGCTGGCAGCCCCCTCACGCAGGGCTTTGTGTGACAATTCAGAGGCAATCAGCGGGCTTTTGTCCTGCCACCCCCACCGGTAAACATCTGCAGGAGCAATCTGAGAGAATGTGGGACGGATCAGGCCAGGAGTGCGGAAAGGAAATGAAGCGACAGGACAGGAGAATGGACACACTGCGGTGGATTTTTACCATCTGGATCGTGTCAGAATTGGTGTAGAAATGTGGAAATTGGCAAATGCTAGCTTATCTAAATGTCAGGTGCTGACAGGAGAAATGGCTTGGATGCCCACTGGTTGGCGGGGCTACTGTGCACTGTCTGTTACTGGGAATAAGGGGGCTGACTGTTACGGTGTGATTGGCATTATGGGAGCTGAAGCGCGGTCTGCGAGCAATGGGGTCACTGGACCTGGCGTGGGGTCACTGGACCTGGCGTGGGGTCACTGGACCCGTCGTGAACGCCCTCTCTGGGCCTTTCAGTGTTGCCAGAACTTAATCTAAGCGGCTGTCGTCTGTGGGATGCATGAAGCCAACTCTTTGCCTATGTGCTCAGATGCTTTTGGCAGGGCTGTTAACATTTAGAGAGAAAAGGCTTCATAGTTTCATCGTACTGCTGTATCGTTTCTTCTCTAGGGCTGAGCAGTACGACAATATTATCGGTAATTGACGATACCGGACAAGTAGCCCGATGTAGGTATCCGACGGTAACCAGCGATTATCGCGCTTGTCGGGGAAGCCGGCTGCGGCTACACACAAAGCACGATAAAGATTTATGGTATTTATTTTAGTCGAGCCTAGAGCTGTAGGGACCTCTTTAAGATCCCACTCCCGCCAACGTTTTGACGGTTCCCGCCCGCTGCTGCTGCAAGATATTTGACCCCCCCAGTCCGCTGCATGTTTTAAAATCATAACTGAATCCGGCCCACCAGTCAGTCATTTCCCATGATGATCCTAGTTTTCCAGACTAATGAAACGATCAGCAGCACCACTAATGTTATTAAATGAATAAGTTGCATGTTACTTTTTTAGATATTGCCCAGCCCTAGTCTACCCTCTGATGCCATGATCTGCTCCTCCTGTCGTCTCTGACCTCTGTCTCTCCCTCCCTCTCTTTCTGCCTCTCTGCTTGCTTCCCTGTTGCCTCTTTGCTCTCCCTGCCACCCCGACAGGGCATCTATGCCCGCTTCCTGCTGGGGAACGCCAGCGCCGCCGACGCCCACAAGTTTGGCCAGAGCGTGGAGCCGCTGGCAGAAGCGGGGCTGCGGATTGCTGAGGGGTCGGTGCATAAACTTCGCCATAAATGCCAGCGTAATTCGTACAATCTGTCAGGCAGATGGCTTGGCACTAATGGAAACTGCTTTGTCTGATTATAAACCTCCATTCCAGGAGTTTCATAAGTACTTCACAGCCAGACTCGCTATTGCTTAAGAAGGGCTTCTGAAAGCGGCCCTTTGTTTGCCGAGCTGTGGCGCTCAGGCTGCACTGTAAACCTTCGGCCCGTCTCTCCCATTGCAGCACCGAGACGTCCGCCCCCCCCACGTCCCTGGCCGGCCGCGAGCAGCTCTTCCAGATGACCCCCAAGGGCCGGGCCGTGCTCCACCAGGTCCAGCAGTTCATGAAGCAGCACGTGTTCCCCGCTCAGCAGGTCTGTGCCCATCAAGCCTCCCCAGGCTCCTCACGCTCCGCATTTTAGTGCCTTAATATTCGTGGCTTTGCCCTGGTTTTAGATTCCAGCCAAATCATATGGAAGATGTTAATAAGAAACGGTGTCGTATGTCATCGTTAATTTATTACCTGGGTGAATGCAGGTGGAATAGAGACTGCATTGACCTGTAAGGTGAGCATGGACGTCCTCCGGTGGGGCAGTCACATGACCAGCTCATCACATGACCTGTGGCTGATTACCAGTTGTACCATTCTGTGCCCTGTTTTCCTCTGTTTTGCCCATTTTGTTCCTTATTTATCAGTCTTCCTTGCCAGTTTTTCTGACCCATCCTCAAAGCGCCGACCCTTCCTTTCATCCCCACGTCACGTAACTCTCTGCCATTGTGTGTATTTAAAAGTCAAAGCTGACACTCTGTGTTTTCCCTTGTTTGGCGCTCGTCCTATAAGGGCTGTATTAGCTACACGATACAGGTTTCTTGTGGCCAGAGAAGCAGATGTACCCTGATCTTATTGTTTGGCCTCTTATTGTATGGTGGTGTGTCTGCAGCCCAGAAGGATATTCTAACTGCTGTTTCTAATGCTCCAGCTCGTTGCACACAAGCGGGTTTTGTTCCCGGAATACCGCCTCTTTGACACCGGCCGCTACATCCTGTTATTTTACACGGCCACATGGCCTTGACAGACAAAAGCTCTTCTCCCGTGAGTGTGAGGCGAGCGACGCCGTTCCCAGTGGCTGGCCAGGTTACACGGAGATCCGCTTCCACCGTGGCGGTGCCGCCCTCAGCTCCGTACTCAGAGGAGCCCACCGCGTCACCCAAGCTGCCTCCTCTCCCTCTTGACGGCCGTCCGCCGGCTTGCGAAGCCCCTGAACGGTCTGAGGATCCCATGACACAAAAGCATACAGTGGCTGCCACCCACTGCTTTCCCATCTTTTTATCTTGTTTATAAAATATTTCCGTATTAGCTGTCATTAGCTACGCGTATTTCGGTACCTGGTCCAATTAAGCTGTCACTTAGTTAAAAATGTTATGGAGATTTACTTCAATAGGAGAATTACAGGCAGAGTTATAAATAAATGCCAAACAGGTTGAACAGCTGTACCCCTCTGTTCTGAGTCATTAATAAAATAAAGAATGAATTCCTCTTCATGGTTGAATCACTGACTTTCAGCACTGTTTATCCACCCACCACGGTGCTTAATCCGTGTAGAAACTTGTGTGTGCTCTTCCAAAAGCTTGCGCCACTTTGAAGGTCAGCATTCGATTGCATGACAAATTGGTTCCATCCTCTCCTTTCATTTTCAGTCGAGGGTCTAACATTTCCCACGCTACTGATACACTCAAAGACACAATTTTGTGCCTGGTGTTTAATTACAGACAGGAGCCCCTAACAGATGAAGACATGCTATTAATCCTGATTTGAATTTATCTTTGGTATGCAGAAGACCATCGATTGGATGTCTGCTTATTTATAAGAGCCAGTCATCTGCCCAGACCCGCCTTCCTCAGATGGGTCACCTCAGTGTACTCTGACGTTAGTCACTGTCAGGCATGTTCAGAAAGCACACATTATATGTTACTATGCTCTGTGTGAAACTTTCGTGCTTACAGATGCTATCCAGAAACTGTCACCTTCCTTGAGAGGTCACAGAATCATTTCCAATTTTCTCCATATTGAATTTGATATACTTTTAATTTCCTTTACTTGTGCTGTTCTGCATACCTGATTAGTGAATTAAATTAGATTTGAAAATTCATGTGAAACATTGAGAATGGAAGTGTGCCAGACAGACACTTTAGTGTGGCCGGGGGACGGGCCGCGTGTCGGAGGCCGGGGGACGGGCCGCGTGTCGGAGGCCGGGGGACCTGTGTGACGACCTCTGTCTTCTGCAGGAAGTGGCAGAGTTCTACGTGAAGAACGCTGGCTCTCAGGCAAGGTGGCGGACGCCTCCCATCATGGAGGAGCTGAAGGTGAGGCCCTCTGAGGCAGGCGGAGGGTTTCAAACATTCGGGGGCCCGAGATCCAAGCCTTGGAGTCGCATGCATATTACATTTGTGACTTTGAGGCTGTTTGGGCATGAAGATAACAACTAAATCCTGAATCACTGTAAAATTTCTGTGAAAGACTAGGAGACTCAGTGGTCCGTTTCCTTTTTAATACATAACCATAGAGTTTCCTAACTCTTTGAGCTGCATTTCTAGCCGCTGATGTCATGACGCTCAAGTGTTGAGGTAGGAAAAATTTGTGTGCTTGACGAAACAGTTATGGTTCATGTTAAGCCATTCTGTCTAGTTGCATTGGCCATTCATTATAAATATGTATTGTCAGAATAGTTTCAGTAAAACATAAGTGCAATGTCCTTGCACTTGGACGTCACTCCATCTCTGCCGTCTGTTCTCCCAGGAGTGGCTGGAATAAAGTGTAGCCTGGTGACACATCCGTAGCCTTGTGCGCGAAGCTGATCTAGCGCCTGTCACAGCGGCTCATGACGGGCGACTTGGCACCGTGGCCTGTGCCAGCGTTCGCCCCTGCCTGGGGACGACACAGGCCCCTGTGGATTCAGGCCCGTGTCCCGTCTTCCCCCTCCAGACTCGGGCTCGGGCCGCTGGGCTCTGGAACCTGTTCCTGCCCGCCGTCAGCGGCCTGAGTCAGCTGGACTACGCCCACATCGCCGAGGAGACCGGCCGCTGCTTCTTCGCTCCGGAGGTCTTCAACTGTCAAGCCCCTGGTTGGTTATGCGTGTGGTCTAGTCACATTTCTATATTTGCATCTCTGGTTCTTAATTTTATTGTCCACCCACCACCAGGCTTTATTTACATATTCCCTCCCATTCGGTGCTTTGAATTTACTCTTTTACATAACCCCGCCCATTGTGTACACACCACTCCCACTTGCATATCCTCGCCCAATTGTTACATTTTTTATACTCTGCCCATCACCGGCTTATTTGCATAACCCCGCCCATTGTGTACACACCACTCCCACTTGCATATCCTCGCCCATTTGTTACATTGTTTATACTCTGCCCATCACCGGCTTATTTGCATAACCCCACCCATTGCTTACCCACCACTCGTACTGCTCCTTTTCCTTCTCAGTCCCCTGTGGCTTGTTGATCAGCCCAAATGCCCTTCTCTTTGTACCATAATACTGTTATTGTTTTATTTTCAAATCTGCTGCATAGTTGTTAAAGCATAACGGGGATTAGGTGAGGTAATTATCCCTGTATAAAGCAACTAACTAGTACTGTTAATAACAACTAAATGTAAAACACTAATGTGTGCTGTCGTTAGGGACGGGCTTCTCGCTGAGTAGATGAAGCACCTTCTGGCTCTGAGCCCACTTTGCCCCCCCCCCA